AGTGTAAACATTCAATAGTAGTTTTAGGCCATAAAATGATGACTGAAGATCACGTATGATCGATTGGATGCCATTTGAAGCCAAAGGAGTGAAATATAGCTAAAGTATTCACAAATCAATTTTCAACTGAAAAAGTTATACTCCAAATTTTACCCTCAAATTGAGACCAATTTTTCGAATAGGATAAGCTCAAATGGAGAAATTGTACTTCCAGAAGAATTGTATCCATTTGAGTTATTTTTCAATGCACTTTGAATTACCTCAATCGAATATCAGGAAAGAAATTTATGACTAAAATATCGACAGCTGTTCAAGGACGTCACGATTTAAATTGGTGCATGCGCGTGCTAGACCTTGTTTTCCCAACCCGAGAGCCATTTGGCTCAATGGTGAACGTGTGGTATTTATGCCTGTGCACACGTACGGGGCTATTTTCGCAGATGAATCAGCAGTTCCCGTTCGCGATTCAAATTCCTTTCGAACCCAAATTGAACACAATTTTAACCAATTTTTTGGCTCTTATAATTACAAAACAAGGTCCATACATTGTAGAACTCTCATTTACCTCTTCATATATAATAATATCATCAAATCCATAAAAATATAAGAGGCAAAATTCGTTACTTTTGAAAGAGAAGATCAAGTCCTAGCATTGAAGCCAATTATATCAAGATTTTAAATAATTCAACATTAAAATTTAGAATCAAGATTTCTTGCATTATTTCATGATCCATGTGATGATTTTTATATTCTTTTTGTAATTTATCTACAGGAATGCTATGCTAGATTCTTTTTGCATTGGATGCAGATGAACTCCATTGTTTTATTTATTTTAATTCAAGACTAGTAATTTAGTTTATTTCTTGTGGTTCTTGGCTAATTTCGCATACCCATTGCATTTATATAATTGATTATTTAATTGATTGACCATCAATTATATAATTAGCCCATGTTTGAACCACATTCTAGGAAAAATGCATTGTTCATGTCAAATCAATAGGAAATATGTGGTTAAAAAATAAGGAAAAGTTTTAGATTTGCGTGTAATATTATTTTATTGAAGAATGTGTGGTTGAAATGATATCAAATCACTGTTGAAGAACGTGTTTTTTATTTTTTTTAAATAATGTGGCTCAAACAAGCCCTTAGTTTCTTATTGTAATGTTGGGATACGCATAATAAGTTTAGAATGTGGCAAAACTAACATATTTGCAATAGATGTTAGTAATAACATTTATCGTTTATGTAATCATATAAATAATCTAAAATTTAATGCGTACTAACAATTTCAATTTGGGCTGGGAATATATTCAAATTGTGGTTAGGATATAATTAATTTGTCTTAGAAAAGAAAGTTAAATACATAAACTTTATCGATTGGCAAGAACTCATGAACGGAAACTAGATTATAAATCAAGAATTGAAATAGATAACAATAGGTGAATTCTAAATCTAATACAACAATCTATAATTTGGTAAAAAAAAATTTACCGATTTTTAGATAAATCGGCATAAAATCAAATCAAAATCTCTCTTTTATTTTACATAATCCGAATTCTATAGATAACTAGTAAACTTGAATTGAAATTTATTCATTGTGGGACGATACTTTCAATTCACCAGTTCTATTACCTGCCAATGATCCCGTATGCTTTCGAGATTTAATTGAGCCATGGGTACCTAGGGATGATTGATATGCATTTGGTTAAAAGCATTTCCAAACAAGCTATTAACAGAGCTACCATTATCCACCATCACGTAGCTAATGTTGTTGCTAGCTATTATAGCCCCCAATACCAATGCATCACAATGGGGGATATATAACTCCATACTTGTCATCATTATAAAAATAATTGGAAGAAATGCAGGTTGAGGATTGCCTCAAATCCAGTTTTCCAATGTGGTCTTTTTAGTAGCTCGAACATAATTCTTTTACCCATTTTCTATTTTTTTGCCAGCGTAAGGACTTCCAATAATAGCACGGATCTCTCTTATTGGAGGTCGAGAATGTTGGTTGCTTGCTAGTGTCGCAAGAAGTCCTCATGCCTTGACCTTCCTCCATGACCTTGTCTTTTAGTGCTCGAGTATGGAGGCCTTCGGCTGTCAGATCCTTCATGTGTCCTGCCTTATTGTTTTCGCAGCTTCACCATCCTAATTCCTCGAAGCATTCATCTGTATTGTGGTCTCTACCACAATGAAATTTACAAAATTTTACCTTTTAGTTCTTAGGGGATGGACGTGCTTCGCCTGCTATTTGTAGTAACTGGAGAGATCGCATGTACTTTGCTTTTGTGGTCGCTAAGGTGCCGATATTGATACTTTGATAGTCTGGGCAAATATGTTGAGATTTTTTCCTTGAGAGCTTGTCCTTGTTTTACCTTCTTTTAATTCTCTATTGTATTTTCAGTCTAGATCTCATTTTGTATAAAACTTACCAGTTGATGGTAGGAAGCTGAATTCTTGTTACGCTCATCTCACTAGGGAGTTTCCATAAGAAATCTATTCCACATGGCATCTCGAGCTTTGTCATCAAATATAGTTTTACAAGTGATCAGTTCAGTACTGAATTGTACAAAGTAGCTCTTGAGGTACTTACTGTCCTCCTGTCCCATATAATTAGGCCTCATAATTGGGGTTGTCCCACATGTTTCCTGCAAGCACTCCCATGAAGCTTGTTTCAATTGCAGCCTTCTTCGGATCGATCCCAATAGTAACTTGCTATACCACTGCTTGGTTGATCACCAAAGTTAGATGGAAGCCTTGACATTTAAGTATAGGACTCACTTTCTTCCGTCATATTTGTGTCACGTACTCACACAAATGGTATATATAATCTCCTTGCCATTGTACTTCTCTATAACTGGATGAATGAAGTTATCCGGGATCGGTTCTTCCTTGATTTCCTTGGAGAATGGTAGATATTTATCATTATCGTCCAATTCGTATGACATAGTAGGTTGATCATCATATTCCTCAACTAGAGGAGTGTTACACGAGGTATTGAACAAACTTTCAATGCTTTAGCCTTCTCGATGACTATTTCTCTTATAATATGAGATAACTTCCTTTGGAAACCTTTCCTTGGCAAGCCTGTTCCTGCTTCGACACTTGCGTTGCTTCTCCAACATGTCAATCCTCATATTCCTCGCCCAGAGGAGTGTTATACGAGGTATTGAGCAGACTTTCAACCCTCTAGCTTTTTCTTCCATGATCTATTCTGTTTAGGTTCTCCACAAATGTCATCAATTTGTTGACGATAAAAATTAGATCAACAAATCCTCTTACCTAGCCAGGATTTTCACTTCCAAATCTTATTAGTTTTGATGGTTAAACAGGAGCTAGAGATGAAATGATTATTTAGGAGGAAGATATTTGAGTTGTATGAGTTATTCTTCAAACGGTGGAGGGGAATGGGGGTATTTATAGATTTTCCCTCAAACTTTGAGGTAATTTGATCATTTTGGGAAAATGACAGATAACGGCTCTCATCTAGCCATGACTTTGATTTCCAAGTCTTACTAGTTTTGATGTTTAAACATGAACTAGAGATGAAATGATCATTTGGAATGGAGATATTTGAATTGTACGTGTTTCTCATGAAATGGGGTAGGGGGAGGGGGTATTTATTGATTTTCCTCCAAACTTTGGGGTAATTCAATCATTTCGGGAAAATGACAGATAGCAACTCTTTATTGGTTACTTGGTAATAGATTTGATTAAAAGTGTAATGTTTTTTATACATCTTGCCAGCCTGTAGCCAGCTCGAACAACAGATAGTTGTGGAAGCTTTAAGCGAGCCTTCTGTGTTTCCATTTCCCTTTTGGCTTACTTTACGTTTCGCCAATAGCTAGTCAAGTTCGTGAATTTGGTTCTACGCATGTGAGCACACATTTGTAGTAAACAAAGATGAATGTCTAATGCACGTAAACGACATTAACACAAAAATACAAGGCAAAAACATAAATATAGGGAGGTGTTTGAGAGACATTTTTATGTAAAAATGTATTTTGAATTAGTAAATTGATGGGAAATGTATGGTTAAAAAATAAGGAAAAGCTTCTGATTTACGTGTAATATTATTTTAATAAAGAATGTGTGGTTGAAAAGAAGGGAGAGAAAAACGCATTTTGAAAAAAATGAGTTCCAAACAAGCTAATAATATTGGCATCAAGAAATCAGTTTTTGGAATGACTGACGTGCCTTGCATAAACAAACAAAAATGGAAATGAGATCTCATAGCTGTACATACATCTCACGTGATGAAAAATGCTATGCACATGTAAATTATACTTTCATGTTGTATTTTCTTATACAACGGAACAATATTCAAACACACTAGTGATTGTCCATAGATATGATGTATTCCCGTGGAAGTTTACAACCTTGCCCCTCTGCCATGCATGTCGAAAGAATAGGTCCGGGGAAGAATTTGAACTTGCTCAAACGATAATTGATGCAAAATCCTGTGTTAATAAATGATAGTGAGAAAGGGCACACTCGTACATGTGAAACCATGCTGACATTCTCAACTCGTCGAGTTCAAACAAATATGGGTGCGAGCTTAACTAAACAGGAATCAAATGTATGCTAGTTGAATTACTAAACTAAGATTATTCAAGCAAGTTGTCGAATATCAAGAAAGAGTCAAGTGAATGAAAAATCAACATTTGGAAGCAAAACAAGCTTAATAAAACAAGCTCAACCCCGCACATGTTTAAGTCTCCATGTACTATAAGATGACTTTTTATACGATTAAGTAATGTATCAGTTACAAGCATTAAGCCAATGAGGGCAACTTCTAAAAATTACGTAAATACTCCAAAAATTACTTTATTAGGAACAGTATATGTAAAATGCTCTGATGTAAGAAGCCAAATATTAATGTAAAATATACATTACTGAGTTTATAAGCACTCATAAATGAACATAAAGTCCTACAAACAGAACTGTGATGGCATACTGGCCTAGAAAGTGAAGGAAAATCTTTCAAGGCCAAGCAACAGAAGGCTGAAAGAGTACAAGTTCACAAAATCTTCCACTGGAGCTCGACTGCTGTTGTTATTATTGATATGCAGTATGCGGCGCTCATTGGAAATTCAGAAACTGCAACAGACAGATTGTTAGACACAAAAACTTAACGAAGCATTTGAGAATTACTAGATGTCATGATAAAAATGTCAAACAAGTGAACTAAATACCTAAAGAACCAGAAAAATAACTCATTATAGTGAATAACTTGGATTTTCAAGATAATAATTCTTGTACAAATATATAAGATTTAACAGAGTCGTTTAGGTTAGTTATATTCCTTGGGTATCTAGAGTTGACACCCTTTGTGCCAATTGCAGCTGACATAACAGAATCCCAAGTGATCAACTCTTCATTGAGACAATTGAGATTTTTTTATTTTTTTTTATTATTTTATTATTTTATTATTTTTTATTATTATTATTTTTTTTTTGGGGTTTAAAGTATGGCATAAATATAACAACTCCGTGTTAGTAGTTACCTCTGTACGAGTGTAGTATGAAGAATGAGAGTGAAGTCAAATGCACGGAAAGCAATTTACATCCTACTCTTTGCACCTATGACCAAGTCTATCTAATATACATAATTATTTTGACCAGTAACAGCTTTTATATGGATGCATGCATTGGTGATTTTAAAATTTTCATAATTTACTAGTAGAGATGAGAAGAAAGAGACTGAAAATTTGCTTACTTAATAGATAATCTTCTACATAGTCTTTATCAATTTTCCCATGGGCCATTGCTCCAACCTGTATGTAAGCCATACACATAAGATATAAGTTACAGTCAAATAAAGAAATTAGTGAGATTATAAGCAGGTATTGATGTACCACGAAAACAAGGTCCATGCCATTGTCAACGGTACTAACATAGTCATACATATCCACTAACTTCTCCGAACTGTGAGAGAAGCCTGATCTCCAGCAAAATAAGTTGACTTTTCAATGACAATCAAAAGGAGGGGTAAAACACCAAAAAATAGAAATTTGTTTTACCTATTTTACGAGAGTTGATGGGCAAATACTGGGTTACGGGATTCTTGATGACACGTAAAAGTTTCTCACCCTTTCCAGCTGCAGTGATATGCAGCTTTTGTAGCAGTTGCACTGCAAAGTATTGTAAAAATAATTCATTATTAATGGCACTTTCAAAAATAGTTTTTATATGAAAAATCTAGGATAAGCTCACCCATGAGACCAGAGAAGCGCTTATATGTCCTCGGCATACGTGCATGAGGTTTGATTTGAAAGAGAATACCTTGCTGTGTCCTCACATACGAAGCTTTCAATCTTCCACTTTTGTTCACGCGGCTATCTAAAATTGTCTGGATGGCCTGAAAAATTGTCAAGTTATCAACACATGGAGTTATAAAGAATTACCTAGACCTGAAAGAATATATCTCGAAATATAAACCACATAACAATTTGTGTTGGGTTTTTTGATACTCAATAAATCCCGGGCTATGATGTTAACGTGGGTTAATATTATTTCACAGGCATAGGCCGATGAATGAAATAAGTCCAATAACCAAGTCAATGAGCTACACCCGGCCCAATTGTATTCCTTATGGATGGCTTGAATCTTGGCCCGTTTACCCCTTTAATGGCCCAACTTAAAGCCTAACCCTAGAGTATATATATGAATATAACCCTAGCCTCTTTGAGATGATGATTGAGTGATTTTGAGAGAAGAAACAAGAGAATCCCGGCTGCCCCCTTTTGTGTGAGAAAAAGGGTGTCCAGAAGTGTCCAGAACGCTGGTATAACGTGTGCAATTGGTGGTTCTTTCATAGTATACCTTTGTGGTGTCTTCTTCTAGCCTTTGTGGCGATAAATCATCATCCCTTCTTGTCCTACGTGGGTAAGATTGAATAGCAACCAAGGTGAATCAATTGGTTGTGGTTTGGAGCCGTTTGGATTGGTTGTTGGTAGAGAAAGGTACGTTGGACTTAGCCTGGAAAATCACCATTTGAAGATCCTTTAGAGAGAGCTTCCGCAACAATTGGTATCAGAGCTTCAAGGTGAAGGTTTTGGCTCGAGAAATCTACCAGAAATCGTCCAAAAAAATCGGCAGAAACGAGGCAGAAATCAGATCGAAAAACTGTCCAGAAAACTGTTAAAAATCAGCCACTGTTTTGGTGTTTTCTGATCAATCCAGAAGGAGTTTGGTGAAAAGGAGGCCGGATTCGTGATCTGCAGGTGGAGGCGGTGCTGTGTGACCGGCGCGTGTGGGCGACGGACGCCGGCGGCGGCGGCGCGTGGCTTCTCCGGCGTGGAGCGTGTGGGCGCGTACGGAAGTTTCTGGGGAAGCTTCCTTCAGACAGTTTGTTCCTTGTATTATTTCTAACATTTTTCGTGTTGGAAGTTTTCTATTTCAGGGTACACAGTAGAAACTGGACAGCGTTGTTCTTCGAGCGTTCGGGACTCGATCATGATTTTTGGTTGCTGCAGTTTCCAGAGACTTTAGGACAAATAGTGGTGGTCCTAAAGTGATAAATTCGCAACTCTCATAATT